TACAGGCATGCACCATCATGCCCAGCTAATTTTTGTATTTTTAGTAGAGACGGGGTTTCACCATGTTGACCAGGATGGTCTCGATCTCTTGACCTTGTGATCCACCCGCCTCGGCCTCCCAAAGTGCTGGGATTACAGGCTTGAGCCACCGCGCCCGGCCCAGATCCCTTTTGACAGCCCACAGGACAAGTGGGGGCTGGTGATGCATTGAATGATGCCCCCCAGAAAATGTGTTTGCACTGGCTTAATAAATATACAATGCAGAGGCCTGCATGAAGACACATGAACGGCATATGCAAACATCAGCTTGCAGCTGGGAAATAGGTGCCTCTCAGGCCCCACATTCTCCCCAGCAAGTGTGGAATGTGTCCATGCCCATGAGTGTATAGATCTGTCCTTCTTAACTTGTATACAACTCCAGGTCAGTTCTGAGTGAATGATGTGTAGATGGGATTTCTCAGGTCATTTGTATGTTTCATATTATGGCTGCTGTTTTGCTGCCACTACCCCAAGTCCCAACCTGGTTCGAAGTTCAGGATTTAGGTAAAAAAAGATGGAGGGCTTTCTTGGGTTATGGAATGGGACGTCCGAGATCTGTGGTAGGACTGGCAGTTTGGGTACCCTTGAGTTTTGTGGCAGGATGAGAGCAGCAGTGGTTTTAATTGTGATTGGCCTAGCCTGGTTGTAGCTCTGGGTGATGAAAAGGGAGTCAGCAGTGGTGGTCCCCCAGCATCCATGTGCCCAGGTCTGGCCTGCCTGCCCTCAGGCCCAGCAAAGCCACCACCACAGGCAAAATTCCCTGAGAATAGCTGCTTCACACAGAATATTTGAAGAGCCTTTCTAAGGTGAATACATTTGGCCAACATAATTCATGCTTATCCATTCCCAGCCCTCACTGTCCCTGCCATTCCTAAAGGCCATCTGACGATATGGTCAGAAGTGGGGTACAACATGGTGAGAGAGGGGCTCAGGAATGGGATGAAGGTCTTTCCTGCATTATCAAAATGATTAAAAAGTTGTTAAAAAGGTGTCCAATTTTTTTTTTTTTTTACCCTCAAATAGCTGCTAAGATGTATTATACAAGCCGATCCAGGTAAGGGAAAGAGCAAGTGCATTTTAAGCCTCAGCTCGCTTCTTCATTAGCTGTAATTCCCTGGGAACATGACTCTGCCTGTTTGAGCCTGTTTCCCCGGTCCATAAAATGCACTAATACTGGGGAGGGTGCGGCGAGGAGGTGGGTCTTGAAGCTTTATCCAATCGCGGCGCAGGCGCGGGAACCGCCCCATTAGTCGCTCAATTGGAGAGGAGGGCGTGGCTTCCCGCCTTTGGCCGGGCCTTTGTCTCCGCTTTCGCCGGAGCTTGGGATCCCTCTCCGCCGTTCTACGTCCTCCACCTCTGGAGCCTCCAGTGACTTTGTCACAGCCTCTGTTGCCCTGTGATCTGCAGGTCCCGGGAGAGGCACAGCTAAGATGCTAGGACATCCTGGAAGCTGGGAAACGGTGGGTGTGCGGGGTTGGGCATCCCGAGAGGGGAGAGCGGGCTGTGAAACCGCCTGGACCCGCCTCCCCACAGTCCGCTTTCCAGTGGCCGACCTGAGTCCGCGCCGGCGCAGCTCCGCCCCAGGTCCCTCTGGCCGCAAGATGGCGGCTGGGCCCGCAGCCCCGCGTCCCGCCTGTCCCTGCGCGGCGCCCTGTCTGGAGCTCTCTGGGCAGCTCTGCACCCGCGGCCGCCGGCATTTCCCAGATTGTTCACGGATGACAGGCGGGTCATCAGGGCAGAATTCCCACTCGGTGTGTGCGTGGGAGGGGCCGTGATTCGTAGGGTCTTCAGTCTTTCCTGATCATTCTTGTTTGTTTTGTGAGACGGAGTCTCGCTCTTGTCGCCCAGGCTACAGTGCAGTGGCGTGATCTTGGCTCACTGCCAACTCCGACTGCCAGGCTCAAGCGATTCTCGCGCCTCATCCTCCGGAGTAGCTGGGATTACAGGCGCCCACCACTGCGCCCGGCTAATTTATTGTATTTTTAGGTGAGACAGGGTTTCACCATGTTGGCCAGGCTGGCGAGGGTGGCGAGCGAGCGCCGAAAGTCCAGAAGCATGAGTATTTATTGTGTATAGGTTAGGGGGCAGAGCAGTGAGTGAAATCATCTTTAAGGATAGTGATAGGGTCGTGAGCAATAAAACATAGGGTCCACCCCCATTAGGTCACCTAGGCCCGGAAGTGGACAGCGCGCACCAAGGGGCCCGTTCCCACGAAGGCAAGGGCCATGTGCAGTAAGGGGTCCACCCCCATTAGGTCACCGAGGCTTGAAGGTGGGCCGTGCGAAGTGAACAGGGTGCAGTGTGCAATACTTCTATCTATGGGAAAACTACTTCTAAGAAGATTTATGGGAGGATGCTTTAAGTCACATAGCAGTGACAGAGCTGTCAAGGTTACCGCCACCTTCTGGCAGCTTCCTATGGATTCTATGAGAAGATGCTTTTCAAGCAGCACAGTAGCAAGAGCTGATGAAGTTCACAGTCACCAAGGTGGATTGCCGTTCTGAGGGCAGCCTTCCACAAGAACTGGAGCAAGGTCCTACAACTCCTTTATCAGGAGGAGTGGCTCTCGCCCCAAGCCTGCCATACAGCGGGTATCTTTACGATACTGAACGCTGCCGCCTGGGCCATGGATTCTTGTCCTGGTATAACTGTTTTCTCTTAAATCATGCTATGCACTGTATCTGCTGTAGGCATTCCTCCCATTATAAGCTGCTGATCTTTAGTTCATGCTCTGTACTATGTCCACTCTAGGCATTCCTCCGATTATGAACTAAGATACAATTATAGGTATATATGTAGGGAAATATTCTTTAGGCACTCATACTATCAACTATTAATGATTATATATAGAGGATTATATAAAGGAGGTTTCAAGCTCTGTTTCTATAAACTAATATATGATTATGTAAAGGATTATATAAAAGGAAATAGCTGAGTAGTAACACTATAAAGTGAGATATTCCTCAAGCCCTAACTGTGCCAGGGTTCTGCTTAGTTCTCATTCCTCGGTGCCTATATGGAGGGTTACCCACAGGCTGGTTTTGAACTCTTAACCTCAGGTGATCCACCTGCCTCGGCCTCCCAAAGTGTTGAGATTACAGGCATGAGCCACCGCGCCCCGCCATAAATTTCTGTACCGTCCTTTTAATATTTATTCATTGCGCCGGGCGCAGTGGCTCAAGCCTGTAATCCCGGCACTTTGGGAGGCGAGGCGGGTGGATCACGAGGTCAAGAGATCGAGACCATCCTGGTCAACATGGTGAAACCCCGTCTCTACTAAAAATACAAAAAATTAGCTGGGCATGGTGGTGCGTGCCTGTAATCCCAGCTACTCAGGAGGCTGAGGCAGGAGAATTGCCTGAACCCAGGAGGCGGAGGTTGCGGTGAGCCGAGATCGCGCCATTGCACTCCAGCCTGGGTAACAAGAGTGAAACTCCGTCTCAAAAAAAAAAAAAGTATTCATTGCATTTTCTCATCAGAGCCTATTATTAATGATTGCAATGCATTTTTCTGTGAAATTTTGCTGCCATTCATTGAATGCCAATGATTCAGAATGCCTGCTCTGCATGAGTACACGCAGCTAACAACTGTAGATATCCAAAGAATTATTTTTTATAGTCTGTGTTGTGTTCAGCATTTTATGCATTAAAATCTCTCTTGGCCAGGTGTGGTGGCTCATTCCTGTAATCCCAGCACTTTGGGTGGCCAAGGCGGGTGGATCACCTGAGGTCAGGAGTTGGAGACCAGCCTAGCCAACATGGTGAAACCCCGTCTGTACTAAAAAAAAAATAGCCAGGCATGTTGGTGGGTGCCTGTAATCCCAGCTACTTGGGAGGCTGAGGCAGGAGCATCTCGGTAGGCAGAGGTTGCAGTGAGCCACAATCACGCCACTGCATTTCCAGCTTGGATATATTGTTGTATATGTTGTTGTATATAATCTATACAACAAACCCCCATGACACGAGTTTACCTATGTCACAAACCTGCACTTATGCTTGAACTTAAAAGTTTTTAGAAAGACCTATTTGTACCTTTTAAAGAGGAATCGTCGAGTATTTTTCAAAGTTAGTTTTGTTTATAAAACGTAATCTTTCACTTGTCTAGTAGATACTCTTCATATATTGCTTGATTGATTGATTCATTCATTCATTGGAGACAGACACTGTCTCCCAGCCTGGAGTGCCGTGGTGCAATCTCATCTTCTGCAACCTTTGCCGCCCAGGTTCAAGTGATTCTCCTGCCTCTGCCTCCTGAGTAGGTAGGATTTATGGCCATGCCGCAACACCCGGCTAATTTTTTATTGTTAGTAGAGACAGGGTTTCACCATGTTGGCAAGGCTCACAAGCCCAGGTTCACAACGCCCAGCCAGAAGCTCTAACTTAATTCGATCCCATTTGTTAATTTTTGCTTTTGTTGCAATTGCTTTGGCATCTTTGTCATGAAGTCTTTGCCTGTGCCTATATCCTGAATGGTATTGCCTAGGTTGTCTTTCAAGGTTTTGTTATGTTTTGTTTTTGGAGATGGAGTTTCCCTCTTGTTCCCTAGGCTGGAGTGCAATGGCAAGATCTCCACTCACCGCAACCTCCGCCTCCTAGGTTCAAGTGATTCTTCTGTCTTAGCCTCCCAAGTAGCTGGGATTACAGGTTCCTGCCTCCACACCCAGCTAATTTTTGTATTTTCAGTAGAGACAGGGTTTCATCATGTTGGCCAGGCTGGTCTTGAACTCCTGACCTCAGGTGATCTGTCACCTCGGCCTCTGAAAATGCTGGGATTATAGGCGTGAGCCACCACGCCCGGCCCTACATTTAAGTCTTTAATCCATCTTGAGTTAATTTTTGTGTATGGTATAAGGAAGGGGTCCAGGTTCAATTTCTAGTCAGCCAGTTCTCCCAGTACAATTCATTGAAAATTCTTTCCCCATTGCTTCTTTTTGTCAGCTTTGTCAAAGGTCATATGGTTGTAGGTGTGCGGCTTGATTTCTGGCCCTCTATTCTGTTCCATTGATCTGTTTCTGCTCA